AACCGACTTGAGGTCTCAGTATTCATAGAGTAAGATGTCTGTTGTAACCACTCGAAGGCCTATATTTTCATAGGTTTTAAACGCCTTAAAATTATCAAAATATTATTGTCGAAGTGCGAAAGCAGTTTCTAAAAGGTTTTTTGTTTGCCTTCCTGCTCATTCCACACCTATCTGCTTTTCGGAAGACCAGTGAATAAATGCACCAGCCCTCCTCATTTGGTTAAATATTTAGTTTCAATAGGACCTCCAAAGCGTTTAAAGTAATACTTTGTTTGAGAGTGGTAGAGACCTTCAAGCACAAATCTTAGATGAGTTTAGTGTTGTTTCAAATAAATACTGGTAAATTCAGAATTATGAAATGTGGAATCCCTGCCAGTAAATTCAAATGGCTACTGGCCACTGACGCACATATATGGCATTAGAAATATATTTATTCCTTACATTTTTATGTCAATAATTTTTCGATCGTGAAAAAGGTTCCTTAAACGTAGTCAGCACCATGATACTCTGATTGTTTTCAAGCGTTCCAGTCTATCTACTAACATGTCAATACATGTGCTCCTGAAAGATAATTTTTGAAGTTAAAGGTGGCAAAAATAACGATTGTTACCAAGTCGTTCGTCGGTGCGCAGCGGTGTGAGTCTACCCGGGAATTTTGGACGATGACTCTAAGTAAAATGTTGTGAAGTATTTATGTAATTTCAGTTTTTTAATCATTCTGTTGGCAGCAACACGAGATATTTATCTTGCCAACAGTCATTTAGTGTCGGCAATGCTATATGCGCAGCGGGGCGATGGAGCTTGCGAAGCCCTCTCAAACGCCCAGATCCTAAGATCTAAAGGCACTTCGATGTCCGAAATAATAGTCAACACAATATATTGTTTCAGTGAGATGGGACGCCGAGTTCGCGAACAATTGTCAGAATCTGTCCCTTTCCTCGCAATACTCGTATTTGAGAAGACTGAGGCGATGAACTGGACACTCAGAAGGCTTCCAGGCCTCATTTCAGTAATTTACCTTGCTTTTTCTCGACTTCAGTACAATGTTTGAACCCTAACCATTTATTATTTTCGGTCGAAAAGGCCTGACAAGCACACTTAGTGGTTTTTTTTAACCCCCCCCCCCAATTAGCTTAACAAAACATTTTATTAAGCGGGGCTGCTTGACAGGTATATGCTTGCTGTCTCGCAGTTGAATATTCCGACCACAGTTGACCAGGACGGGAGTAGGTCCAATATTGCATAAAATCCTCCGTAGGGCACACTTGGGTACGGTACAGTGTTTGTCTGTCAAGGGAGAAAGCACTTCAGCGCGACTTATTCGATATCTTTGTGAGAGGAAACGACTACCTCTTTTGAAGTCCTTTGCTGGAGACAGGGCTGGTGTGCTGTGCGCATGTCAGTTGGACCGTCCAGCTCATATAGATCAGGTGGGAATCCTGGGGCCGAAGTTTCCTGAATTGCCTCCTCGTACCACTTACAAAAGAATTCTTCAAATTAACGAAAACAAAGCGCACAAGGCCCGAAAAAAACGTCCTCTAGGAAAATTCACAGGACTTCAAAAGCCCCCCGGATATCAAGATATTCGGAACAAACTGGGACATTTGGGATAACGGGTTTATTGTCAAACAAATGTACAATTGACTGGTAAAACCTAATAAACTGGCGCTGCTATGAGGGCAGCAAACTTCTTTTTCACAGTTGGGTCAATATGAATTATTCAAAATCTGCCAAAATACCTATGAATTACGTGAGCCTGGTAGTCATCTGGTGGATTCTAGGCGAATTACTTAGGAAATCCTGCTTGGGCAGTCAACCTACTGTATCAGATTTGGTGGATTCCAGACGTTGCAGTAGGTTGGGCGGGTAACTCGCATCGTCCGGCGGGGCCTCGTAGCTCAAGTGGTTAGAGCGTTGACTGTACTCAAGCCTTCTCCTTACTGCGTGAGTTCGAATCCTACCGAGGCGCCGAGTTTTTCACAGTTGGGTCAATATGAAACTTCTTTGGATAAAACTTACGAACTAACGGTAGTGATGCTAATCAGTAGTCTGTTGTTTGGCGTTTGCGTTCACGCACAATGTTTTATAGAGTCCAGGTCACAAAATGGAAACCTAGCCTGGGAGTTATTTTGATTTTCTCTGCATACCGATATCTGCGACCTGAAGTTTGATATATTTGAATTCCTTCAAGGTTATCTGACATCAACTCATGAAAATAACGAGTCGCGATTTACATGAAGACTTTGAAGCCCAATGCAGTTGACTGGACTCTTGACATTAAAAATTCAGTTTGACTGAAAACCTCTAGACTTTCCTGAAAGATTGTATGGTAGGAATCTACGTGTTCATGTGAGGAAGGTCAAATTAAATTCCTGACAAGTTGTGCACGCAGCATGTTAGAGAGTGATAACACTTTCAGTGCAAATAGGTGGACACCAGGTATGAGGCCAGTTTGGTCCTCATGCTATTTCCTACAAAATGTCGCAGTTAGTTTAAGGACAACCCATTATTAAATGTCATTAGTTATTAATTCAAAGTAGATGACTAATGATCACTTTTTACCCACTGGTTGCTCGTTTTTTCTTATGCACATCTTTGTTTCTAGTGACGCTAAGGCTAAACTGAGATATCATCGTGTTTGGAGAAGACAGAACCTTGCGGAAACGGCCACAAATTGGTTAAAAAGCCCTTGTGGAGGGAAACGGCAGTTTGAAACCTGGAAATCCTTTACTACTTGTCTAAACCATTTATATAGAACGTGAGGGGTGCCTTCAGGTCCCTGGCGTCAATTCCTGTTGAGAATGGGCTTCAATAGAACGGCCGGAAGTGAAATGTTCCCTCTTTAAACTAAGCATTTAAACCTAAAGCTCACGTGACATAAGATATGTTTCAGCATGAGAGGGAGGTGAGATGGGGACACAGTCTGGCTTAGCATAGGAAATGCTAACATCCTCACCGGCTGCACCCAAATCCAGAAGAATATAGTGACATCAGTTGACGTCGCGATTCTTGGGTAGTCAGCTATCCAGGTTTCCGTAATGCTTGCTCTACAGTCTGTGACCGATCTCATGAAGAATTAACGACAATTCTGAAATGTGTTTCTGACTATGAAGGATCACTTATATGAGTTTATAGTATTGATTATCTTATGCAACAATTGTGGCATAATCCCGTGATATTTCAGGCATACCAAGGTGTTGGCTTTTAAATAGGCTTCTTCTCGGCCACTATCCAAAAACACACTTGGTAAAAATGACCGTTTAGTTAGTAGGCATTTTCTCCATCGATTTTCGATGCCCTTGTAAAGTCGGATATATTCTGTGGAGAACCTCTATAAAAGTATAAATTCTCACACTCATTTGATGCCAAATAATGCGTTCTTCAAAGTTATCACTAGAATATAGGCTATTTTCTGGTCTTAAAAGTTTTCCTATTCTCGGATAATTTTGGAGTCCATCTATCGTTACATTTTTCCTTAGGGTTTTCAGTCTACATGCGTTCCTCCATGTCATTAAAAAATACCACATGGAGCTCATGAAATTTTGCAACGGATGTGGACTATGTTGTATACTTAACGGGGAGTAAAATTAAACAGACAGATATGATGCTATTCGAATGGACACCGCATGGTCTTAAAAATCTAATTATTGGAAAGTTTTTTAAAAGCAGAAGATACACTTTTCCAAACATGAAATTTGAAAAACACATAATTTGCCATCAAATGAGTGTAAGAAATAATATTTTATAGAGGCTCTCCACCAAATAGATTTGAATTTACAAGGGTACCGAGAATCGATGGGAAAGATGCATACTAACTGAATAATTATTTTTATCGCGTGTGGTTTTGGATGGAGGCTAAGAAGAAGCCGATTCAAAAGCCAACACCCTGGTATGTCTGAAATACCAAGGCATAATGAGACAATTGTGGCATAAGATAATCAATATTATAACCCCACTTAAGTAATCCTTCATAATCACATAATCGTGCCGGAATCGCCGTTAATATTTCATAAGATCCGTCACAGACTACATTTTGGATTCGGTATAAGGGGCGTCTAGTTGTGGGAGGCACTGTGTAGGATATGGTAGGCTACTCCGTTCATCCCTTTGCCGATACCCAACTCTCATCCATGGTCCCCTGAAGCTGGGCTCTGCCCAGCGTCTACAGCCTGATAACTAACCGGCAAGCTAAACTAAATGAGGTTACCAGGCAGTTGTGCGCCTTTTTCCTCTCTCCCACTTTCACAGTTCGACCGAGATGGCGACATGTAATACCGTAAGCGGCCCCGACTAACTCGGGTCTCCCCTGCATTAGATGAAATCGTAACCCATAATGGAATTTGGAAGCCGTCTGAGGTGTCTACACAGCCCTATTTAGGGACAGCACTGTTTAACCCCTCGCGTGTGCCTTAAACAAATGCCTGGATCGCGTCATCTTCACGCAGACTGTGGGTCGCAGATGTACAACTCACGGCCGAAGCAATCAAACAAACAGCAGCCCTCGTCCCATCCCCTTCGCCCAACCGTTCAGGCTGCTAAAGTGGCCCCGCTCACTCTGGCAGCCTGGAATGTTCGTTTCTACTTAGACAATCCCAGGAGCAACCAACAGGAACGAAGGACGGCATTAGTCGCTTAAGAATGGGCGCACTACAAGGTGGACACCACTGCCCTCAGTGAGACCTGGTTCCCCGAAAAAGGCCAGCTGAAGGATGTGGTCACCGGCTACGCCTGGATCCACCGCCCAAGACCAGAGCAACGCGACGCCAGCCTCGCATTTTCCATTTGGAACGTCATCGTGGGGCGGCCGCCGCAGGGCATCAACGACCGACTGATGGGCATGCGCCTGATTCTTCGGAGAACAAAATCTACTACCATCGTCAGTGTCTACGCCCCACTAATGACCAGACCCGACAAGGCAAAGATCAAGCTCTAAGAAAACCTGTACGACCTTCTGGCGACTGTACCGAAGACGGGCAAGCTGCCCTTCCTTGATGACTTCAATGTCCGCGTCGGACAGTCTATACTGTCTGATGGGGAGTGCTGGGTCCTCATGGAATCGCCGGCTGCAACGACAACGATTTCCTTCTCCTGCGAACCAGCGCAAAACACCGCCTACTCCTGACCAACACCTGCCTGCCGACGAGGAAGAAGGAGATCCGGATGCACTCGCGATCGCTGCGCCATCGGCTGCTGGACTACGTCCTCGTCCGGAGGTGAGGTCGTTAGGACGTAACGGTGACCAAGACGATCTGCGACGCCGGCGGATGGACAGATCGTCGCCTGGTCATCTTCAGGATGAGGCTCCGACTACAGTCTCGCCGAAAACCACAGGGTAAGCGACCATCAGGTAAGTTAAGTGCCATTTCTTGAATATGTCTGCGTATCGCTTCGACTTCAGAAATCAACCGGCTCAGCGGTTGGAAGAAGTGCACGTTGCGTCGACGATACTATCGTGAAGACACGGCGACGCCAACCGTGAAAGTCATGCCCTCCATCGCCCTGGACGTCCTCGGTCGTCCATGCCATCGAAATCAAGATTGGTTCGAGGAGGACGACGAGGAAATCTGCAATCCGTTTGCCAAGAATACGCTGTACAAAGCCTACGTCAACCACGGAACCGCTGTAAACAACGCTGAATTCACCGGATGTCGCCGCCTGGTGCAAAAGCGACCTTGGGAGATGAAAGACGCCTGGATGGATCGCAAAGCCGAAGAACTACAAGCAAACTCGGACTGCAATGAAACGAAGAATATTTTCGCCCCCATCAAGGCAGTCTACAGACCATGCACCAAGGGAACGAAGCCCCTGCACAGCTCCAACACGCCAAGGTTTCTTACAGAGAAATCGGAAATTCGAAAACTCTGGACTGACCACTTCTGAAGTGCCCCTAATCGGCTTTCTACAATCTCCGACGATGGCAACAACAGACTCCTTCAAGTGAAAAGGAATGACGACTTGCACCTCTCCTCATCCTCCTCCTCCTCCTCCTCCTCTTCCTTCAAGGAAACAGACTCGTGCACTAGCTATCCAGAGGGGAAGCACCGGAATCCGGCGACATTTCGGCTAGTCCACAAGCATGGAGGCTTCCGAGCCATGGACAAACTTGCAACGACGATTCAGAAGATGTGGCACCAAGGGCAAGTCCGTGGGATTTCAAGGACGACTACTGTCGGCGGCCTGCTCTTCGCGGACGACTGCGCGGTCAACAGCGCGACAGAACCGGATACGTGAGAAAGTGCGAATCTCTTTGACGCTGGCTGCGTACACTCCGGGCTGACCAATAACGCGGATGTAAAGGTGGTCATGCACCAGCCATCGCCCAACACTGGATACAACAATCCTCTCGTCATTGTCTTCGGTACCCAACTCCAAACCCGCAAACAAATTAGCCTACTTAAGCAACACACGCATGAAGCACTAACATAGACGCTCGTGCTGCGCACAGGACTTCCGTAGCCCTCATGGCGATTAAAAATAAAAACGTATCATTGTCATTATAAGCCAGCCAGGCCTTCGGCCGGCTGCAGGCCTCCATTTGGGACCGCCACGGACTTCGACTGCACAAGAGACCCAAAATACGCAGGGCGCTAGTTCTGAAAATGCTTCCATACGGGACAGAGATATGGACCATATACACCAATCAAGCCAGGAAATTCCATTATTTACGCCTTAACAGTCTCTGGAGAATACTAGAGCCGAGATAGTACGACCGGATTCCGGAGGCGGAAGTCTTGGAACGAACCGCAATCCTCAGCAGCCACGGTATGCTGGACAACTACAATGGTGATGGAGCGGCCACCTCATGAGGATGGACGATGGGCGACTGCCCAAGCGACTATTCACGGCGTCGTTGCGGGTGCTTGTCGACAATGCGGTCAGAAATGACGCTACAAGAATGATCTGTAGACCTTAAGAACCTACAAACCAGCCTCGCGACCTGGGAGGAGATCGCACAGAACCGGCAGATCTGGAGAAGAATAATGAAGACTGGAGCAGCCATCGACGAAGTCAACCGGATCGCCTCTGCCAAAGCCACGACACACACACTCAATCATCTCCAGCAGGTCAACGCTGTCAACAAGCATTCCGCGCACGAATCGGCTTCGTCGGATAGCCCCAGTGCAACAACACGACAACTTCACCTGCTGCCTTCGTAAAGGCCCCCATCGTTGACTCCGCACCATCCCCACGGTGACCAGGGCTATCACTGGTGATCACGCTCCTGCTGCTTCCCACGGCCGCCGACATCGTCAACCACTACCACCTGCATCATCCATGCCACAATTCCCGCGACGACGGTGACCACCTCTCCCACTACCAGTAAGAACATCCCCAACGATCAACTCGGGGCAGTGGGTCCCCTCGACACTCAGCGCATATTTCCCCGCTAAAATAAATGTGTTGCGCTTCAATATATCACGGTGGTTTTGAAGGCTGCCAACTGACTCGGTCATCCTCCCAGAACGGAGCATCAGATTGCAATAGTTACTTCCTAATGTTGGGATCCTTAACAATTCGATCTGCAGTATTTTGAGGTTTACGGATTTTGACTCAGAACTCCTTTAGTCCGCGGTTACTCGACGTATGCGGGTCTAAACTCTTGGCAAATATGCGCTAGCTGACGCGAGTGCCTCGACCTTTCTTAAATCAGCAGTATCAACGGAGGACCTACCCATGCAGGCCGAGCAGTCGGGACGTACTGGCCCGTTTTGCAAGCTGAACGACTCGAATCTAGCTGGACTAACATTGGCCCATTTCAGGAGGAACCAATAATCGCGGATGACACACGGAGTGGTCCCACTTGCACTGCTTTCGCCGCAGACAGGAAACTCCCACGAGGGGGGCATGATAGGGGCTCCCTTCATAACTGCCCACGAAAACAGTCTGCCTGCAGATAATATACACTTTTTAGAGAAAATTTGAATCAGTAGGACAAAACACCAGTCAGCAAACGACTTCTTCAAGTTCGGACAATTAAAAGATAAAGACGAACGAGCCAAAACATCGGGCGCCTGTCCGCAAATTTAAAAAGCACTTAATGCTACCGTGTACGTCAACAAAAATCGGTAAAACATCCCGGCAGGATATAGGCAAGACCTCACGTGGCCGTATTTGATTCATATTTTTGCAGATGTACCAGTGGCTAGAAGTTCTACGTATTTTCGCCCGGCTGATTGGTGTACGAATGGGGTTTCGGGTGTCATGCTCATTGGTAAAAATGCTCCGCCCTCCTCCTCCTCCTCCTCCTCCACTTTTTCCCTCTGCAGAGCCAGATTACAATTAGTCAAAATTAAATGTCTATGCGCGTAATATTTTTACTACCTGAAAAAGGTCGGTAAGATTTTTGTTTTCAAGAAGAAATCCCCACTGCACGCGGAGAACGACTCAACTTCTGAGAACTCTTTGTTACGTGATCACCGTGCCTTTACGCCATGCGAAGGTTCAATAGATGCAAGCCTTCATGGACAACACTGTGAGGAAGATGTAGAGTATAGTAAATTATCTTGATATTTCTATTTGGTACGGAGTTCTTTCTCATGATGGCACACATCTATACGTCGAAATTTTCAAGTGTCCACACCAACTTTGGGTAGGTGCAATCCATATTTAAAGAACTTCAACGACTGTACGGTCATGGTTACGTGGAATAAGTAGGAAGTCTCCAAATAATTCCAACAAGAAGCTTTTCGGTAATTCGACTGTCACAAAGCCACCGGAGATGTGCACTTGGGGGAATCGTCCATGTTTACGAGTTCCGAAAGTGCGCAGCAGAAGTGACCGTCAAGATGCTTAACCGTGGTTTGTACGCAAACAGGCATACTGAGAAGATACCTTCTGCCGTCAACTAGATCCTAAAAGACGTAGTTATCAGATAGATTGTCGAATGGGGTTATATTGAGAACAGAACGACAGGTCACGAGCGTGTGCACGAGAAAAATCATTTAAATCACCTCAAGTGGGAATTTTAAACCACAAGCCTGCACCCATTCGTCCAATAGTTTGTTAGAAAACAGCTTGATTTCTCTGGCAACATCCTTTGTTCCACCTACGTCAGTATCAAAATTACACGGTGAAGAAGCCTCTAGTGGACATATCCCGTGATGTCGTCTGACGGGTGAGGTCCATTGCGCATATTAAAAACCGTTTAATAAAAGGAAGCGAATGTGCAAGTCCCAGGTCCTTGTTGTAAAGAAGATGAACGTGTGATCACTGGGATGGTACGTGTATTAGTCTGAACTTTCAGTCTCGTACAGGAGACCGAATCATGTGCTTCTGCCAACACTCGGTCAGAATTCCTATTGTGACTGGTAATAGAAAGGAATGGCATCAGCCTCGTTTTGCACTACGTCGCGAATACGGACCCGTGTTCTTTTAGTGCATTTGTCTGGCTGTGTAGACCTAGGTGAGTTTACGCGGCATCACCTATAACATATTCGTCCCAAGAAGCGTCCTTGGATTCGAATACGTTACATCTGTTAAGTTCCCTAAAAAGCAGGACCGTCCTAAGGCGCTTATGGGGAATGTTTTGTTAAGCAGTCCACTGATCTGTACTTGGTCCCTTTGCCAAATGTGCTTCTGAAGGTTCCGAAAATCAGGCTGAGGGCACATCCTCCCGCAACCATGAGTCACGACTTGGAGAGGAAAACAAGACAGGGCCCTACATACGCTCCTCCTCTCATCAGGTGACGCCAATGATAACGAACGAGGGGAGTCTCTCCGTTGATTCCCCAATAAAACTCACAGACTCTTTCGATTATCTTCCCCCGAAAACCTCCCTGAAGCTGCCACTCCGAAAACCTGCGCACAAAGTTAAATGTGAGCGAGAGGCAGGAAAAGGCAAGACGACCACACACAGGGAATAAAGTTTACATGAATCGGTGTCTATTTTGCTTTAGGTCAATGCCGATTGTCAGCAGATGTAAACTGCCACTTCCGCAGGTGTCCTTAGGTAGCGCATAAGATACATGCCACGGACGGACCTGTGCCCGATATTTGAGAAACTTAGTGGCTGAGCATGCGAAGGAACTTTTCGGTTCTCATGAATGTTTGTGCGACTTTCCAGCACTCGTTGGATTGAATAGAGGTCTGGAGTTAATACTGTGACAAATATGAAGAAAATCAAGAGACTAAAAGATTCCTTGTCCTGGTTTAAACACATGTTCAAATCTTCTGCAACGATGGGAAAATATGTATATCACAAAACAAACCCACGTTAACATTAGGCAACAGCTTGAAACACGCAACTATAGCTGGTGAATATCGTGTTGCCTTTCCGCGAGTACTATCAAAAATAATAAAACAGACAAAGGATCCCACAGAGAACCCTATGTTTTCTACGCTGTATGCCAGATGACGATTTCCGAGACCATACACTTTTACATAACAGTACAGGCATTGGACATACCTTAGATGTCACGTATTGTATATAACGTTCCTTCGATATTACTTGAAGAGCCGATTTAAGATCGATTTTAAGGCATTCGCTTTCAAGGAAGTCTAACTCACCCTCAAACATGGATCAAGTCGATGCAAGGTGTCACCATGGACTTCAATTATTGATAGAAAATCCTCTTACTATGCCTAAGCTGAACTGTTATGATCCGACACCTTGGGATCGTGGCCCAGGTGAGACTGACGTCTCTTAAATTGCATGAGTGGGACTTGCAGAAAAAAGGAGTTTCCGCTCCGTTCTTGATGGCATATGATCAGTATAACTTCGCATGAGGCTTTGCGACACGATGAAACACTTATGGCGGAAAAAGTAAATTCGGCAGAATTAAGTGGCAGAAAACAACGCCTTCGTGTTGAAAGGGAGTTTCGATTTTACATGATTCCGGAATCACTGGGAAGCTATCTTAGTCGATCATATTCAATGGATCTCCTCATTACTGGACTACCATCTTATCATTCCCTCATTAAGTGGACGGCTCAGTGATTCGGCCCCACTTAGATGTATAATTCCAATGTTTGACCTCGTGGCAATGTTCTCAGTCGCATGCGAAACATTGTTAGTATATTACAGAGCAACCCAGATCTCTGGCCCCTATCTTCAAGGACGAACAAAAGGGCACCAGACGATAAAGGCCCCTGGATAGTAATTTCACATAAACTTGACGGCTGGGTATCCGACCAAGTATCATTGCAAGCAACCCACTAGAAAGTTGGTGTATCACTAGAAAACTGATTTATGCCGAACACCTACCCAAAAGCCTTCGTAAACCGGCACCATCGGATGCCACCCAGAAAGAGCCTAATTGAAGAGCGATTCGGAGACCCAACATGCCCTGCCGTATATCAGAATTGATCCAGAGACTGAGGAACGCAATACCGCGGTACTAGGCCTCAGAAATGCACACCAGTCCGAAGTCACCACGCAAATGAATCAAGATAGTCTATTGACAGGCAAATGCCGTCTGAGAATCTGCAGTGAGCTACCACATACAACGTATTTACGAGCCGAACCCACGAATAGGATAACAGAAATCGGGCGGGACACATTGCAAGCTGAATGGCATTACCGACAAAGACAAGGGAGACTGGAATGGCCATTTCTGGCTTATTGATCCTCGTCAGCCAGTCGTACCAAACCCTTGCCATTGTATATTCCCGATCGAAACAGACAGGACAACGGGCTAATGGCCCAGTGGTTAGAGGCGTGGGCTTCTAACTAACAGGTCGCGTGTTCGAGCCTCGGGTGTTCCGCACTTCGGGGTTGGATATGACTGGCTGACGACGGCGAATATGCCAGAAATGGCCATTCCAGTCTCCCTTGTCTTTGTCGGTTATGCCATTCTGCCTATATCATGCGCCGCTGTGCGGCTGCTGGTCGTGCACGAGAGAGAGAGCCCATAAGGCACAACGGAACGAGTGAGTTCCGTAAGAACGATCGGTGAGCGTTCCCACCACATTGCAAGCTGCCCGCCTTGCTAATGGGACTTAAGTTGGGGTTTTAAGAATTTTTGTAAAAGCGAGAGCCGGTCGAAAGATAGGCAATCGCACGGAGTCTTTTCCTTGTACTTCCCGGAAAGCCACTTTGACCTGAACATCACGCACAAATTAAGTTTAAAATCAGATAAGCAGAAAACTCTGAAGTGGAGCTAGGAATCAAAGTGAAGACATCATGAGTCTGCCTGAACTACTTTCGCTCCCACTCTACTAATAAATATAGTGCGATATTACCGGAGATGGGAAAAGGCGTAAAAATGAAATTAAATATGAGGAAGCATTTACATCGTGTCACTATCGCTGGGCGGTGCTGGCAGAGTAACAATTAAATGCTGTGGGACAAACGATCGATCACATCTTACAGGATGGTCAGCTGAACCACGTTTGATGGAATAGTACCTTAAACAACTTAGTTACATCGTTGCCCAATCATTCCCTGAACATCAGTGGAGTAGAGTTGCCCACAAATCGGACAGAACTTGAACAGATGGCCGTACTGGTCAATAAGACTTAAGTCCCGACATTTGTCAAGTGGACGTAGGAATTATAAAAATGTGTATTTAGAAGATAAGGGAATAGAGTATCGGTGTCAAGAGCAAAAAGAAGAGGTTGGAGACGGCCTCGACCCACAAACCAGTTCTAAAACAATTGAGGGCGCTCCCACACAAATGACATCCTACTTAGTGTTAACAATTATTAAGGAGTAGCGGACTGCAAAATACTAGTTTCTTAAAGGCAACCAGTTACAAACAGATGTCCTAAAGCTCCAAGTGCGGTTGGATGTTTTAGCTAGTGCCTTGAGAGTATAGTTCGTAAAGAGTCTTCCATGATGCACATAAACAACCACGAGGCAAAAGATGAAAGAGAAACGAAACACCGGATAATGAAGAGCAAGAACACCATGTCCAAGTTGCTAGCACGTACTGTAAAAGTTCGAACTAGAGAAACAAGTAGGTCGTTAGTTGGACAGTCGTATTTATGATATTTCTGTGAGTCAACCCAACAAACGTCCGAAATGTACGCCACCTTAAACAATGGATCTTGTCAAGAGGTGCAAAACGAACCCTCCCCCCCTACACTTCCTCAGAGCGAAGGAATAAGGCAAAGCACAAGCGAAACGTCAAATTACACACAAAAGCTAAACATATTTACACATGAGGACTAGTAGAATGACCAGGGGTAGGTATTCCAATCAGCTTCAAATCTAGAATTGTTTCTGGCTTTGTATGTCCCGTCGGGATTCAGGCGCTGCTTAATAGATTGTCGCATGGCATCATCTAGACGCCATAATCCACTGTACCGGTATTCTTGGCCATCTTGGTTGAGCCGATATTTGTAGTGAGATGTGAAAAATTCCGAAAACAGTTGATGTCGATCCCATCGCTTGTTGTGCCACTGCCTGAGGTAGTCTCGACTCAGATACTTAGCATTTGAGTCCATAGGAGTAAGCTAAAAAACAAACTTTCTGTAAAACGAGACTCCAGGGCTTTTTAACATTGAATTGAGAGATTATCGAGCTTAAATATTCTAGTAAGTCTTACTCAGAGACAGAATATGGATAGGAATTAAGCTAGATGCATGAAGTTTAAAGCCCTAACCCTAAGGATTAAAAGTAAAGACAGCAGAAGCGGTGCGGCGGCTCGCTGGTTTCAGGTGATGTGACAATTTAGACTGTCCTTATGTGCGCAAAATTGTCATTAAAACATGATCATGAGTGCGACCACAAAGCTAGGGAAGTACACACACCTGGTTCTGTTCCACGGAAGAGGAGATTTTCCGACAATTTTCGAGCGCTGACTCAGAAAAAAGATCCAAATAAATTCCGCGACGGAAGGGGGATTTGCCTTTACGCACGAATTTTCCATTGGGTAGAAGACGAAAATTGAGTAGATCTTCTTGGGTTGTAGGAAGCCCGTCCGGGAACTCAACTGGTTGCACCCGAACAAGATGCTTGATATTGTCTAACTCTTTAACTACATGGGGAGTATTCTTAACTAAAACCCATTTATGCATCTTTTGGTAAGACAACATAAACTATGTACCTTAGTTGTAGGTCCCATGCCGTATTTTTCAAGGAAACCCTTTTCGTAGAAGTGTATGCCTTTCCAAGGTTTTAGCCGGCAAACCATGAGAATTGGTGAAGGCTCTTCACAGGGTTTAAAGTCCTTTCGCAGCTCTTTTAGGTCGAATAATCTCTCGGCCCACGCCAGAGGGTGAAGAGCATCCTCCGAACCGGGTACGGGGCGACTTTCATAAGTGCGCCCTTTGGACATGAGGGCAGATGACACATATATATTGCGGACGCAAATAAGCTGGTGTATAGTTACTTGAGGAAGTCTCCGCAAAGCCCCTGGAAGCATCTTTTGGCACACGCTCCCAACAGTCCTCCAGATTTTCAGCTCATTAAAACTCGAACTGGCCCTTTATTAACGTATGTAAACTCGAGAGTTCCGTCCGTTCAATTGTAACGGCCAATGACGTCAAGGGTAACACACACCAAAGTACGGAAACGCTGAGAAGATGTCCTGGCTGAGGCAGACCTGAAAAGAACTGTTAGCATCTCTCGAAATTCATTCACACGCAGAAGAAAGTACAGTACCAGGTACTGTACGTCAAGTATGGGATATAGTGTAATAGAACGACATGGATATGAGGAATATGCATAACAAGCGTTAATGTACACGAGGAATGAGGAAATGCGAAGAGATGACCTTTCTAGATGGATAGTTAACCCTGACATAGTAGCTAAACAGCCCGTGGGGATGCAGCGCTGTGGGCACCTGCAGGGAAGGGCCGACGTGGGGGCCGAAGTTGAGTGGAAGAGAGACGAGAGCGAGAGTGCGTTGCGGGAGGCGGGTGTCGGCGGTAGCGAGAGGAAGGGACACCGGCCGTCTTCACCAACACGTAGTTACACCATCTCCATTCCAGGTCCGTGCCAAAGTGTTACAACATTCAAACAATTCTGTTCGTGCCAAGGGGCTTTACATAATTGAACTATCGGCCTTTTATTAGAATAATGACCAACTATACGTTTGGTTGGGCCACAGAGTACGACCAGCGGAGACAGGAAAGTAGGAGCTTCATTTATTGCTTTGCGCGACCGATGTTGGCAGGTCATAGCAAAATAATCGAAACTGCTAAGGATAGCATACTTCCGCATCGCCGCGTGCGATCACACAAAATTTTTCATGGGTCTCATGCAGGTAACTAACAGCGAGGGTGTAAAAATACAAAACTCTCCAAGTCTGTTTTGGTGCTGCAGTCAGTCATGAGGCTAATCTCGGTGTCCGGTGGGAAAATCATTCCGTAAGTCAGATATGATGACAGCGTCTGTGTCTTAATCCCCGACGATAAGGGGTTTTTGAATCAAAGACGAAATATTAACCCAGGACCCTAGATTTAGATCTTCAGTTTTATGAAACTACTAACACCTTTTCATAAGCATGAGTACTGCTATACAACCAAAGGATGCATTGAACGCGACGCTCAGTCACACGCACAAATTCTGATTTTTACACGAAAAAACTCCCGAATATTGGTCTTCACTTTCTCCAGAGTCTGTGAAGATGTGGAAATCCAGTTAAGTACAAGATGGTTCATACTTAAAGGACGAATAGGGACAGCGCTGTTAGTGGGCGTATAAACTGCAGCGCCCAACACGGGCCCAATGATGAGTAATCAAATACTGAGCTCCCAACTCCGGCGTCGTATTTACTTGCACGAGCACAATCACAGAATTCCGGAGACAGGTGAATAAAGATTTGAATCAGATAAAGTTGGTTACTGAGTCAGACGTTGTACCAGATGAAATAGTTCCTTACAGTCTGTCGGCTATGACCGTTAAAATGCCGTGCACTGGCCTAATCCGACTGTTTATTCAAATAGGGACCCTAGCGATGCTTTTGAATTTTAGGTGGATTCTCACTAGCCAAAATACAACAAAGGCCGCGGCTCCACGACTACGCGGAAGTTAATATTTTGCTATTCAAACAAATCAAGTCAGTGAGAGTCGATCTATGGAATACTTGGTTAGCCAAAGAACTCGTCCGATTACGGAAACCGACAGTAGTTATATTGAACACTCCTTTACAGAAACTGCCAACGTGATTTCGGCTATGGAGTCAATCTTTAGCCAAGCGGAGGTAACAGACAGGACGAAGGACCGTATACAACATCAAGTGTCCTCTCCCCTCATGGTTTGTAGGCGGCGCGAAGTGCTTTCCAAGGTCGAACGTGAAACACTAATGGAACTGAAGGCCAGCAAAGATATCATTCTTGCGTCTGCGGATAAGGTGTTTTTCACTGTTGTACCGGACAGTACAAATTAGTTTGGAAAATTGAGAGGTTGCTAGAGAGTCCTCAGTTGTATGATCCAGGCGAATCCATTCCCGCGACAACGCTGACGCATGAAACCACTGCGACGTTGTTTGCGGGGGCCCAAAACGGCCTTGACTCGATTATAAAGTCACCCCAAAGCGCACAAAGGGAGCTCTCCTTATCGGCTCATCATATTACTCAAAGGCTCTCCAACAGACTGGCAAAATGGCCGTTTCGGCGGTAGCCGTCATCGGATAGACGCACTTCGTAGAAAAAATTCGAAGGCATAAGTGTCCGGCCAAACGGCATCCTGGCATCGTCTGGCATCATGTCCCTTTTTATTTCTCTTCCCCAGGATCGGGCATTCGGGACCGTCGAATTTCCTCTGCAAATCCAATACGATGTGGTGGAGAATCGTCTCGGTCACGCCCAAATCCTCTAGTCTCAGAATTATTCGTCTCAAAATGTACTTCCAGTTAGATGAAATAATCTGTGAACAAGTAAAACGCACGGTAATAGGTTTGCGATTTCAAAAACCATAGCTGAGGCGGTCCTACAACAGTTAGGGTCGATGGTCTTCCGACATCAGAGACTGAGATTCTGGGCCCGGTGTGCGGATGATATCTTCGTCGTCATCAAACGAAGTCAGGCGCTGGCATTCAAAGAAATCCCACTGTCATCTTCCTGGATGTGCTCTTGCGGTTTAGGAGGGAGAAGACAACTAGCCATCTTTCTCTGATGTCTTCGTCTGTCACAGAAACTGTGTCGGCCCAAATCAAAAGTACTTGTGAGGACGACTAATGCGGCGTGAGTACTGCATTTCAACAGCAACCACCCAGTTGGGCGTAGGGGGCTGTGCAGGCACGTTGCGGCACGTTGCACTGAACAATAACACAAGACAGAAGAACTGCAATGTCTTCGACGCGTGCTTGGAACGAATGGTTTCTCGCTCAGCTTCGTCAACCGATGCATTCGCGAATCCGATGAGAACCGTAATGTAACCGATCCGAAGTTTTAGCGAGTGCTTTCATACGTGAAAAACCTACCGGAAGCCGTTGGCCGGCTGCTCACAGCACCCAGATTTGGTGTCGTTCACAAATTAGAAGTAACTCTAAGGTGCCAATTCCTGAGGGCAAAAAACCTAATGCCCAGTGAAGAAACGTCTTTATTCATTCACCGGATCTCACGCAGTTGAGACAATGCAAGTGCATCGGGAAACCGGGAGATTAACCCGGACGCTGATGGCCGAACATACGGCAGCAATGAGGAAAATGGTGTCAGCCCTCAAGTCACTGTTCATTTGGCGGAACCGGACCACACCTTTAAGTTTGGAAGGGCCGACATTCTTACAAGAGGGGGACAATTGCGTGGGCCGCTTACTGTCTAATTCATGTTTCTACCGCCCGAATTCGACTAATAAGCGCAATTACATCCTGTTCCCATATTCTGTGTTGGGACTGTGTCCAGACAAATTAACTCTCCATGCGGGAAGGCACGGTGACGGATAGTTCCAGTGACGATGAGCCGAACTACCGAGTAGTCTTTGAGCCACGAATTGGCACCAGTTATGAAATCGTGATTGTTACCGACTCGTGTTTGAAGTAACAAACACCCGCACATGAGAAACGATGCCCAGCGATAAAGGCGGATGCTGCTAATTACGATAGGCATGTGGTTTCATGGAAACTGCGTCATATTAATACGGCGCTCTTTGTGTCCTCGTTACCTCTACTTGTGACTGTCTCTAGTGATGGGTTTGAGTGAAGATCCGAAACGATAAGGCAATAAATTTCTTGTTCTCGCCAGTACCCTTTCCTCTGGAGAGCTTCCTGGAACTCGCCTATCCGCCTCTACCGGATGACTGGGTATCCGGCTTGCAAATTATCTGTTGGTAATTTCTTATCTCTTATGTATTGCCTCGTTGGTAAAGTAAGTTAACCAGAATACAAAGACAAATTATTCGAATAATTTTGGATACTCCATAGCGGGTTTTTGTTTTCAAGGATGTGGGGGGAGTTACCGATCGTAGGATTCGCAGTTACATAATAATGAACCTACCATCTTAAAAGGCTAACCCTTTTTGTTTCACTTACAGGCTTTTTTGTCCGGTCAACTGACCTTGTTGAAACTGAGCAGTCTGTTGCCCAGGCACACACACACGGATTTGCAACTAAACTGCAGACACTCAAACACCCGCTAAGTTTCTTTGCTGTAGACAGACTCTTAGTTCCAGGAAGGGCTGCCACACCATCCTCAGAGTTGTCGGTCTGCGTTGATAAGTGATATCGCTAGGCTTGACACACAGTTACACTGTTAAAGGGTGTGCTTGCTGACTGTGACCTATGTTTTTGGCACCATAGCCGCGGGCAAAATTCAATTTTGCACTTGACAAATGTAAAAGAATAAGATAACATGGCATTTAGCATAATTCTACAGAGGCAATTAAACAAGTAAAATGATCTTTTTAAGGGTCATCCAGTGATGGTGTCGATTTTCACAAATTCTTTTTGAACTTTTGGTGGTCCGCTTTGAATCATAAAACGTTTCCTCGGCATATGACGCATCATAACACGAACAATTTTAGTTTAGTTGTATTATACTTACTAGAAAATTAGTCCAAGCGTGTGAATCGGTAAGGTTGGGTGAATTTTTCATTTAGCTGAAGTCATCTATGCTGATTTCAGGGAGGTGCTCGACTGCGTTCCACACTAACCATCATCAGTATCATCAGTAAGTATCATCAGTAAAAGACCCAGGTCTGAGCTACACGAATAAACTTATGTTATCGTCACACGTTAAAGAAATTTTGGTAGGGGCTGACAACGCGGCCGCACTCTGCCGTTTCTTTTTCGCATTACTAACGAGACAGTTTTCCGCAGACGTGTTGTTTTCGTACAAAATCTTTTTTACGGTAAAATTGCCCTAAACGATGCGGTTTCCATCCAGGACCAACTCC